AACGAAGAATATTTCTTTAAAGTTTCGTCAACTGTTAATTAGGTAAATTTATTACTTTTAAGTAGCAAGTAATAAATTTACTTAATTAACTGTTGACGAAACTTTAAAGAAATATTCTTCGTTAGTATCACTTGCTTCTGGCATTTTCATATAGAACTATAATCAGCCAATTAGATTTTAAGGATCGACAACCAATCAGATGGATACTTAATCATGCTCAAATATATACGTGCTATTTTTATCCGTAAAACGTACATGTACGTGCTACCAGAAACGGGTTATCCCGTGCTTTCACGACGATTTCCTGTGCCACACTTTTCTTACAGGGTATAAATAGGTGATTATATAGAGATTAGGGTTGGAGGCACGGTGTCCCAAGGCATGCCTCAGGGGCATGCCCTTTGGCTAAAAGGCATGCCCCTACTCTTTTATATCACATATGAAGTTTCGTTGATTTGATTGGTTAATTATCATAGTTGATTTGACATAAGTTAGATTAATCAATTATGATATCTAGAGAGGGCATGCCTAAGGCACAAAGGGCATGCCCAAAAAATTTTCCGTGCCCCCAACCCTAATAGAGATGTAATAATAAAATACTTTTTTATAATCAATTAAAGAGTAATCATCTTTTATCAGTTATAAAAACTTTTAATTAATAAAAATTAGAGATTGGTGCTGTTATTAGTTTAACCGCATTTAACCGTTTATTTATATTATACGGTTAAACGAGTAAGAGTTTTAATAAACCTTTTATATGATTAATCGTTAAATGTCCGTGATCTAATTGGCAGTTACATTCATGCATCACGTTTGTGTTATGGTTCTTTACTGATATCGGATCAAATTATAGATATATAATTAATTAATTTTTCTATAGTATTTCTATTTCTGATTTGTTTTGATCCTAGTACTTCGCCGGCACTGAGAAGGAAACAGAGCCTGCGACTGTAAGTACCAATTTTCTTTTTTCTATTTCTTAGTTATTGGTTTTCTTTTCCTAATTTAATTTTATTTCTTTGTAGGGTTGTTCTTCGCTGGGAACGTAAAATTGGCGCCGATGAACGTGAAATGGCGATCTTTGACTTGTAGGAATTGAAACTTGCATTGCTATTATTCTTTTTCTAGGTTTTATATTGCAACGAACGAGATGAAAGGTTACACGAATCTATGAGGTCGCATTGTAATTTTAGAAAAAATAAAAATCTATAGTTAAGAATTAAACGATTATATGATTACTAAACGGTTAAACAATTATCGATTATTAAATCATGTAACTTATGATAATTTTTTTTTAATTCATCAAAGTTTAATCTTTTTTATTGTTTTTTTTTTCTTAATTTCATGTTAGATAACATTTTTTTGTGGGATAATGCACATCTTTATCTTTGTTAATACATAATGCTAATAAAGAGCAATGCATAAACTTGTCTTATAGAATAATATAAAAATAACACACATCTTATAGAATAATATAACTCTTAATAAATAACATAAAACCTTATAAAATAATAGAAATCTGAAAAATATAAATCTTTTAAAACATAAATCCTATAGAATAACATAAATCTTATAGAATAATATAAATCTTATAGATAAAATAATAAATCTTAGAGCAACACAAATCTTATAAATCTTATAGAATATCATAAATCTTATAAAATAGCATAAAATTTATAGAATAACATAAATGCCTAATATCATCATATGGGTTATATATTTTTAGATAGGTTATACATTTTTAGAGGGATATTCATAAAACAAACTCGGAAACTAATGGATAATTGATATATTTATCGAACCATTCGTCGTTGTTTAAATCATTAATATTAACACTTTCTGGACTCGCTAAAGATTCAGCGTAAGAAAATTCGACATCTTTAGGCGGAGTTGTGATGTTATCACATTCGATGTCTACAGGAGAAGTTCTCTCATAAAGAGGAAGATTATTCTGAGATCGTTCAATTTCAAAAACTAATTCGGCTTCAATATTATTGTTTTCTTTTTTAGAAACGCGTTTATTTTCAGGTGTAAATTGGTTTGCTTTTTTAGAAACGCGTTTATTTCCGTTGTTCCTAGGCTTTCTAGGTTTATATTTGTAACCGGGGTATAATTTATTGTGCTCTTCTTTCGCTACTTTAGCAAGAACAGTAAAATAGTAATGAACTGATGGTGGTTGTTGTTTCCAAACTTTAGAGGCGATGCTCGACATTTTTTTATTCGCTTCATTATCTAATATCACACCATCTGATTTTAGCTTCGCATAAAAATCTTTTAAATATAGGAGAAATGCATTGAGTGGTCTTGGAGGTGAGAAAGATATGGGATTTTTTCGATGTTTCACAGCGTTTCGAGAATCATGCGCTGGTTTGGTTAATTCGTTTTCACTAATGGTTAATACATGTGGTCTTGGCCAGATTCTTTGCAATTCATCATAAGCCGAATGTTCGTGATTCACTGGTATCATGTTCATTGTAAATTGAACACAAACAGATTCGTTTGGAGAATTCATCTCTAACTTAATATTTGTTGATTAATTAATCGATGTGCTTGTTTTCTGATAAGAGAAGAATTGATAACAAGATCTGTATCAATTTTGTGAGGATTAAAGATTAAGGCGGTATTGCCTTTAAATAAAAAAATCTTCACATTCGTATATAACTTGTAATTGATTTTTTTCAAAAAAAAAAAACATGTTTTGATTTAGCCGGCCTGCGATTCTGTCCTTACTATTTAGTACAACAAAACTAATTTCTGGCGAAACGGAAAACAAACTGTTGCAGCATTATGTGTCATACAGCTTTATTTGGCATTGTACTATACTTCTGGAAAAACCTAAAATTCGAACTAACTAACTGAAGTGGAACTCGATCTTAGAATATAGAGATAAACAATTCAAACTCTGGACGTTAAAATCTAATAATTTCTAAAACGATATGCATGCATGATACTATCTTAAAATTATTTCCAAACTGGCACAATTTGAACAGAGACTCAAGAAAATCATTACTTATTTTTGAAAAGTTTACTTATTTTGAAACAATGACAATTCATAACGATAAAAACTATCCGAAATTTGCATGTATGCACGTACTTATTGGTATCAGGTGGTAGTCATTCATACATCCCCAATTTTTTTTTCTGTAGTCGATTAAAACAAAACAAGGTAGTAATGATCTCTTATTATCTCCGGAATATTTGAACATGCATTGAAGCTCAAATCTCAGCCATTGCCCTGCCACAACACATGATATAACAGATAATTTAAAAATCTAAGTTTCGTACGACGTACGTTTGTTCTAGATTATCTAATTTCATGTAGTCAGATTAAAACAAGTAAGGTAGTAATGTCTCTTATTGTTCTCCGGAATATTAGAACATGCATTGAGGCTCACGGATTTCAGCCATCGGTTCCCATTAAAATTTAAAAGATGCCACAGCACGTGAGAACCCAAATTTCATGTACGTATATGTTTTCAACCAGGGTTGTCACATTACAATGTCCAATTGGTTTCAATTTTTTTGGAAAAAAAGTTACGTGACAACCCTGTTTTTAACGGTTCAGACTAGAGATATTATTGCGCTTTTAAATTATTGTAACAGAATTTTTATTCAAATAAACCATATCTGATATGATAAACTTTCAATAAAATATATTGAGTAATCGTATTTAATTGTTTGCAAACGTTCTCAACAAAAATACCAATTCAAAAAGAAAATCTCTTTATTTCGAAAAGTTTTTCCGATTTAGCAATATTAATGGAAAATTTCTTATCAAACATTGTAAATTTTTTGTTTTAACAAGCCGTTAAGATGATACCTGGTTTTTTTTTTAGCGTATTGTACGCATTTGCCATTCTTTGAAATGTTCAACTCCTACCTAAGTTATTTTAGAATTGTAAGTTAATTCAGAATAGATTTAGAATTCACAGATATTCCGAATCCACCAATAACATACAATATATAAATTTTATTAGGTATCGATTTTTAAAACAAATTATTGTACTCAGGATATAATAAAACTCATGACCCAGAATGTATTTTGTTTAACATTAATCATCAGGAATATCAATGTTTTTAGAGACAGCATAATCTAAATAATGTAGATGTTTAATTTATTATATAGAGCTACGATAAATGTGTGATAATGTAAAATATAGTGTTATTTATTTTCTTATCATAGGTGATACGTACCTAATTGCTGTATGAACGGAAACTTGCTAAATTAATTTGGTATCAAATATATTGTATTAGTGTTGTCAATGGACAGCAATCTGAACCGCTTTGCTAGTAGCATCTGTCAAAGCTTAAGCACATATATATACAGATAGCAAAGCAGCAATAGAAGCTATTTAAAAGCACAAAAAAGATAGCAAGTTTAGAAGCTAGTTTAAGATGAAAAACAGGAGTATATTAAGACAAATCAAGAACTGTTATAGAGCCAAAAACCTGAATCTAGTGTTTCAAAAAGTTAAGAGACATAGTGGTAATATATGGAATAATCTAGTAGACAAGCTTGCTAAAGGAGAAATAAGCATGTTTAGTATACTCAATATGCTTAAAATATTATTAAATAATTTTCTATTCATGTCTAAATAAAAGGATCAAATTATAAATAGTTTGTTTAGATCTTTTATAAATATAACAACAATAATTTATAAAACAAAGTAGTCTAAACTAAGTAAGATAATAGAGGTTTAGTGATCTAGTGTAGTAGATAGGTTGTCAGACTACCATATAATAGGTTTGGAGTTCAAAACTTACTGTTGATAATTTGAATAATTTCTCAAATCTTGTATTCAACTTACAGTAAACTTTATTTGTTTTTGGAGTTATAACTCTGTAAATCATATTGTACTAATATTAATTAGACATTAGAAATATGATACAACATTTGAAGAGATATAATATTATATGAATAAATCTTGATAAAATTTACAAACAGAAGATCTGTATAGTAGAAATTTCAAGTTAGGTGAAGTAGTACAAATTTTAATAGTCATACTAATTAATATTTGATTTAATAAAAAAAGTTTATGTATAAAGAATGTAGATCAAGTAGATATAAGTAAGTTTATTATACTAAGTAATATAGTAATACTAACTTGGCTTGGTAGCTAACTAAATTAGAAGAATCTACTACATGAAATATTTGAGAAACATAGAATTCTAATCTAATAGAGAGCTATAGCAGGAACTAAGTTTATACAAACATTAAATAAGAATATATACAAGTTAAATTAGGATATAGTATAGTATAGTTAGGTATTCATCAGAAAGTGTATTTTTTATAAAATCTAAATAGATCTACAAGTTTATATAAATGTTATATAGAATTTCTATATAGGTTTACAAATCTAATATAGACTTATATGGTTATAATTTCTTTTTTTAAAATTCAGCAGTCATGCCATGACTTTATTTAGATTTGTTTTCTAATTGAAAATAGTATTAATTAGCTATATACTATCTAATATCTAATTTTTAAGCCTTAACTCACTCAGTTATCCTGAGAATACCTATATGCGATCTGCTATAGTGACCTTTGTTCTATACTAATATAACTTATGAAATGTATAAATTATATATAGATAATAGAAAGAACACTACAGCCTATTATACTAACTTAAAAACTAACTTGCTACTACTCCCTCCTTTACTTCTCTGGCTATACTATCTAATACTATTTTAAGACTAATATTACAGTTTTCTGTATTCTCATCTACTTTACT